GGGGGGGGGGGGGGCGAGGGGGAGGATTGGCAGTTGACTTGTCTCGGAGCTAATGGGCTCACCACACAGCGAATCAAACAAATTCTACCGAGTACATCGGATATGAGCATGTTTATTCGAAAATTTCGATATGCATGCGCTGACTAGGAGTACATACTTATCTGCAAATTTCGAGGAGGGATGCGCTGACTAGGAGTACATATTCAGACAGAAACCGAAAGAAAGGAAATTTAAAAAGAAAGATCAGACTGGACGATTGTGACCACAATTATTGCCGATCCAGGATGTATGCGAATCGCAATTTTGGCGAGCGATCTCTATAGCTGCTAAGGGCCTTTTTTCGCACTACTCAACCAAAAGTTGAAAAGGAGAAAAGGACGAGTACGTGCCTCTCCGCACCGCTCACCGTATGCGAAAAAAACTACAATATGGTGGCTGCATATTTCAGTGTTCTATGGGAAAATACATTCTCCATTTGCATATTTGGTGAGTCAGTGGTGCGGCGACAACCTACATCTTCCGACCGAAGCTGGCAAGATGCAGCCGTTACTGTGAACGTTAGCCGACAAGTCCTACCGCAGTGCGACTACGCCCTAATGCACACCCCTCAACGAACTTCAAATCCAAATGCAGAATGCCCGCTACGTCGGGTGCACGAAATATGAAAGTTGGCGCGCACAAATTTCATAATTTCATATTTCGTTTCGAAGAACGCCGTTTTTCTTGATTTGATTGTTTTCTTTTTTTTTCTTTCTGACGAATTGATTTTTTTTACGCTCCCCTCCCCTCCCCTCCCTTCCCTTCCCTCTTGCTGTCAGTGGCACGTCCGTTTCGGCGGATGGGGTTCCTCTGCTCCTCTCTACCCCCCCTTTCCACCCGCCTCCCGGGGCCAAGTCCCAAACAGCAACGCGCGAATTGGAACGTCTTTGCGGAGATGCGCAGAAAATCGCGCTGAGTTTCCTCAACCGCACAACTCCACGAACACGTCAAGATTCGGGCGTTGAGGAAACTCAACGCTGCCACGGTGGTGGGACTCGGCCGCCGCTGTCCATCCGTGGCGGCCGTCCATCCGTTCAAGTTGGAGCGATGCAGATCTGTGCAAGGGTGACACTTATAAATCGAGAAATGATCCAAAAGGGGAGAGGCGGGGCTGCGGCCCGGCGAAACGCTGCGCTAACGCCGCGGTAATTTCCTCACAGGAGACGGTGACGGTAACCTGCGGTTAGGTCACGGCGCGGAGACGGGTTCGTGCTCGTGCAACCTTCCCTCTTCGGTGGCAACGAGGAAGGAAGGGAACGAGCCTGTTCTCACCATAGCTGAGTAGGTGAGTGCCAACCGTGAAATACGTGGGGGTCAGGATAGTTGCCCTGCCCCAACCACGCGTTACCGGTGGTTCATCGAGTCGAATTCCTGCCCAATGAACTGAATTTTGCTGTGGAGAAGAAACCACCCTCCGTGGGATCCGGCTGCTGCTTCCTTCGGATCGCAAGAGTGAGTTACAGTTATCGCGAACAGGCGATCATTTTCACCGTGCCGCTGCAGGTATATTTCGCATGACTCTATCTGTGTGACCAAACTGTGGAGGGTTACTTACGGGTTTCTATACGGTGTTTTCTCAATTGACGGATGCTTCAGTCTAGGTCTAAATCTCACTCCTTTCGTGGTTATTCTGGATACGGTAGGCCGTAGAACAGTGTAGGAAAATGGCCGTGCCAGAAATGGACCAATCAATGTCGAGCGAGGAAAAAGACAGGATCAGGGACCTAATTTCGAAATGTTATATCGATGGGGTATTGCCCACGAACCTAGCTCCGAATTCGGTCGAAACGGGGGAAGATTACGTACGAGGAGTCGTCAACCCGACAGTAAACAGAATTCAGGAGGAATGGCTCATGGCCCACGCAGTTACGATTTCCTTCGGCGACAACGCGACTTCACTTCCCATCGATGTGAAAAAGAACCTCGTCCGTATGTACGAAGATGGTTGGGCGTCGGCGGGCGCCGTTTCGGCCCCTCCCAAGAGAGGGCTTTTTCACAACGAGGGTCGGAACCTAGTCACGTACGTCACCACCGCAAAGGAAATAGCGGACTGGATGCTCCGTGTGGGCAAAACGGAGATAGAGCTGGATACAAAGAAATACTCTCTCACCTTTAGGCCGTGGATGTCAGAACACTAACTGTGGGAATGGAGGGAAGTAGCCAAACATCGTTTCTTCTGGATTAGGTGTTTGCAGGTACCGGTAGGTGCCCTACCCCATCTCTCTAAGGCGGTGTCCGATGCCTTCGAACCTATCATCAAAGAGAGTCAGGCCTTCTTCGATCCACTATCGCCAAATCTTATGAACATTCGCTTCGACTTGGAATCTGCGGCTCGGTTACGATATAAGCGTTACCTGATAGTCGACATGGGATACCTGGGTTACGTAGAGATTGAAGTTGTTTGCGCTGCCTCACCGTGGTGCCCAACATGCAGGAAATATTTCCACTCGGAGGGCGATCCCGAGTGCACGGCGAAAAACAAGAAATCATACCTTAGTGCAGCCAAGTCCAGCACTCGCAAACAAGAGCCAAAAGGTAGAAAGCAGGGAGGAGGCGACGGGACAGGAACGGGGACAGGGGGCGGAGGAGAGGGAGGTCCGAGAGGAAAAACAGGCGGCAACAAGGAGAGAGAGATTGGGAAGGATGGAGGATCGAAAAATGGAACAGGGACGGAGGGTAAGGTGGGAGGAGATGGGAGCGCCACTCAGGACAAAGGGAAGGAGGGAAGACCTGGGAAAGAGAAAAACGGAACCCGAGGGGAGAAGACAGGGAAAGAGAAAAAGGGGTCGGAGGTTAAGGACGATGCAAGCGGAAACAGGAAGGAGAACGGGACAGACGAAGAGGAGAAGGGAAAGGACCGAAATGCGGAAAAGGACAAGATGGAAAAAGAAAATGGTCCAATGGTGGGCAAGGGAGGAGGGAATCCCGAGGAGGATGGAGGATTGAGAAAGAAGGAGGAGAAGAAGAGGGAAGAAGGAAAGGGAGACCAGAGTAAGGAGGTCTCAGACGACACTCCCCAAGCCTCGACCAGATGGGAGAGAAAACCACTCCGAAGTCGCATCGGGCGACAAAGTGCATGTTGCTCCACTGCTGATTAGAGATAAAGAAACGGGAACAGATAACATGGATGAAGATGTAACAATAATTAGAGAAAAGAGAAATCGGGAAGATAGAGATGAACGTTCCTAACATTCGGATATCGATACAGACGTAGGAAAAACTTTAGTTCTATATGACAGAGACCGCGCCCTTAAGGCAAAAGATGCCTCTCTCTCCCCCCTCCCCTCTTCCTCCTCTTCAGAAGGGGAAGATGACGAGGACAGGGAAGTGGGTTTGCTGCCCCTATTCGGAGACTCGCAAGATCTCTCTCACCTAGGAATCAAAACATATTCTAATCAATCCTACGGGCTTGACGTGAGCAACCAGGACAGGGCTGTAGCCCAGTTCCTCACGAGGAGGCACAACTCCTCCCCGTTGGCAGCTGCAGTTTCAGCTGGGGAGAAGCTGAGGTCGTCAGGAAAACTATTTGTAGACTGTGAAGATGGGACTAATGACTTAGAGCATGAGAGGCAGCTCTCAGAGAACGACGTTTTCAGTCCATCACCAGTCCGCTTATCCTCGCCCTCTCCAGCTACGAAAACGAAGAAGCTGGCTCGCAGAACCAAAGAAAAAAAGATTCAGTCTGGAGAGGGCCCAAGCAAGTCCAACTTCAGAGAAAGAACGAAAGGGAGAAAAGAGGACAAAGTCAGACAACCCCTCTCCCTTGCACAGCCAATGCGGACCTTGTCAGGTCAGCCAAAACAAAGGGCACAGTGAAGGAGCTGGCGGTCCCAAACAACTGCACACAGTCCCCTCACGGAATCATGGTTTTAACCAAGATTCGGGCTGACGAATCCCTGTCCATACCGGCTTTCTCATCTGCAGGCCCCCCAGAGGAGGGCCAGCTGATTGAGTGAACAACAGAGTAGGTATTAAACAATCATAGCACAGTCACAGTTTTACCCAAGCCCAAAAAAGGGAGATTTTTGGAATCAGATGGAGGGGGTAAAACAACAGCTCCGCACATTTCTTTTCTAGCACTACAAGCTGACACCGTTGATATGGCTAATCTGCGTAACCAGAGCATTCACTGGCTACCACTAGCCTATCTGTTGAATGTGGGCATCGACACCCTCAGAGATATAGCTATCTCTGAGGACGTTTCCACCCTCAGCATAGCAAACGGGTCGGCTCAGTCGGAGGCAGCAGATTTCCTTACCTCCCCGGCCTTTGCAGACATTCTCATTGCAAGACAAACAGCCCCCAAAGCAACCTCCCACGAAGCTGCAGCCCAAGGGGGGGGGAAACCAAGGGGCAAAAAGTCATCCACCCGCATCCAAAGCCTAAGCGGTAAGGGCCCTGCCAATGGTCCTACCGAGAAGGGTTAGAATAGCTAATTGGAACGTACGCGGGCTAGGAGACTCGAATAACAGATTCAAAAAATCCAGACTTCGGTCATGAGTTCACTCTCAAGAAATACACATTTTGTGCTTGCAAGAAACTAAGCTGAATATGTCCAAACTGGCGGATCTACATCTGTGGTGGGACGGCCCGGAACTGTGGACACCAGCAGATGGTTCCAAAAGGGGGGTGGCCATACTAATAGACAACAATTTGGAAATAGACATTTTAGACCAATACCAGGATCAAGATGGTAGATGGGGATGGGTCAAATTTGAACTCGATCAAGAGGAATGGGCTGTAATGACGATCTACGCACCTGTGGACTACGCAGAGAGAGTGAATTTTCTAGCCTCCCTCCCTGCAGCTATCCCTGACACATAAAATCTAATTATAACTGGAGATTGGAACACGATTTTCAACCCCGGTTTAGATTCACTGAAAATTTTCCCCATTCAACCCCGGTTTAGATTCACTGAAAAATTTCCCCATCTGTTCGGACACGGTAATGTTCCAGGAATTCTCAGACTCTCAATCCTTGTTTGATGTATACTGGACCCTCAACCCGGATAGCCACGACTTCAATTGGTACGGCCCAAAGCCCAGTAAGAAGACCAGAGCACCTAGAAGACGCCTTGATTTTTTTCTGGCACGAGGCTCTCCATGGGATCATTGTATGGCCTGCGACTATTACATTTCAGATCTCTCGGATCACTATCCGGTAGTCATGGACATACTAACTCGAGATGTCTTAGATAAGCATCGCCCCCCATTCCGACTGAACACCAACCTTCTCAAAGACGAGGGCATTGTTAGGTGGGTCACCAGTCAGATGGAGACGTGGATGAATGCCCAGGACCTGTTCACGGATCAGAACGCCTGGGATGACACAGGGATAGGCATAATAAAAGTTGCGCTCATGTAGTTCTCCAGAATGAAATCAGCAGCGCGAACATGGAAAGAGAGATCCTTGACAGAAGACGTTAGAAAGGCTGAAGCCCAGATGGGTAGGGATCCTTTTGCTGACTATTACTGGTCAAATAAGAGATCCCTCGCCCTGTCCGAACCGGAATCGCTACACGTCCAAAAACACGGAGAATGGTGTCCAAAAACACGGAGAATGGCTAAACTGGCTGCGCTTGAGGGGCATAGCCGGCTATGACCGCATGACCAAGCTCTCCTTTCTATCCCTGATTCTACGCCAGGCCAAACCAATGATGAGAGAATTGACACACCCCTTTGCGATTAATGCCCCGGTAGTCGTAGCCACAGTTACCATGTGTGCTTATGCTCTAGAATACTACAGAGACATTATTACTACCAGACACCCCCATGACCCCCCCGATGTTGACTTGGCAGAATTCTCAGTTTTCTGGGACTCACCCCACATGACCATCTCTCGAACCGCAAAAGAAGAGATGGACCAGTCGATGATGGAACATGAAATCCTACAAGCTGCAAAGCTGATGGCCAAAGGGAAGTGCCCGGGCCGAGATGGGTTGCCAATCGAACTAATCCTAGCCTCCTGGTCAGCCATTGCGCCATTTTTCTGCAAAATCTATAATTCTGCCATCACCAGTGGAGTCCTTCCTGACAGCTTCACACAAGGCCTAATCTCCTTTTATATAAAAAGGGAGATAAAAGGGAGGTGCGCAACTGGCGCCCAATATCAGTCTTGAACGTGACATACAAGCTGTTTGCCAAAACTTTAGCCCTGAGACTTGCCAAACTCCTACCGGATCTGATTGGGTGGGAGCAGGGGGCTTTCGTAAAGGGTAGATCCATTTTTGACAACACCCTAGCTACGGTACAAGCCTTGGAAATCATAGGGTAGGAAAAAAGGGACGTAGCCGTCCTCCTTCTGGACATGGAAAAGACTTACGATAAAGTAGGATGGAGTTTTGTTTTCACAACTCTAAGAAAGATGGGTTTTGGCGAGGCCTTCTGCAGGTGCGTCAAAGCCAGTTATAGCCAAGTGGAATCAGTAGTAGTGGTCAACGGTAGACTCTCTGATAGCTTTCGCCTGACCCGTTCACTGAGGCAGGGCTGCCCACTAGCCCCGCTCCTTTTCATTCTTCAGTTAGAAGTATTGCAAAACAACTTTAGAAAAAGCGACTCCATTAGAGGACTAGTACTCTCCCCCTCCACAATGTGGAAGAGGGGGGCCATAGCAGATGATCTAACAATCGCTAGCGAAAATTCAGTAGAATCACTAGAAGAACTACGCTCGGTGATAGACACCTACTATTCACTCTCTGAAGCATCCATCAACTGGGAAAAGTCAGTATATTTTCTACCCCCTCCCAGAGTCTGTGTGTGGATTGGGGTCTCCGTCAGGTACCAGTGAACTCCGCGGATCGATTTCTAGGAGTCCAAGTCTCTCTCACAGACTGCTCAATGGCTCAAGATGCTCTGTTGGCGGAAAAAGTCTCGACAAGAATCTCCGGTTGGATTCACAGTCACAAACTCTCCCTCTACGGGAGAGCCATGGTCCTCTCGTCTGCTGCCTTCTCCCTTCTCTGGTTTCCCGTCTCCGTACACCTGTTAGGGGATGGGGCGTATGCTCAAATCAAACGGGTGGCAGCTCGATACCTCTGGAAGCCGTCAAGTGCTGAGCACCAAGGTTTCATCACCAAGGTGGCATGGGAAATAGTTTCAGTGGCAAGGGATGAGGGAGGTCTGGGCATCCTCGACCCACTGCAACAAAACCTGCCCCTGCTCACCAAGTGGATCATCGCAGCCACATGGGGGAACAGAAACAAGCTCTGGGTAAAACTAGCAGAACACATCCTTTCTCAAGAATGGGGACTGGCCAACACTGCAGATGTTTGGAGATGCCTCTTCATAGCATCATTTGCTCGCAGACGTCCTAAGTCAAGACTGTGGAAGAGCATTCTGTTCGCTTGGCACAAGCTTTTCCCCAATAGAAGAGTCCACCCCTCCTCCCCTATGGAGGTGTTGAACCAATTTCTTTTTGAGAATCCACTGGTACTCCAAAAAGATGGCTCCCCTTTCCTAGCAGATGGAAGTAGAGGGAGCTTTGGCAGGACCTGGGTGGAAAAAGGCTTCATCCAACTAAAGGACCTGTGGGATCCGGCCACTGAGGACTGGATAAGCCTTTCCTCTCTGCGCAGATCCATGCCCAGGATCCATAACCTCAACGAAAATTTTGATAACCTGAAGAAAGCCACTCCAGCTTTCTGGCTGTGCCAACTGAAGAGCAACTCAGAAGCCCTCGCCGGAACCTGACTTAAAGACCCTGGGACACCAGGCCAATTTCTGAGGGTTTTAGGCCCAGATCTGCCACAGGGAACCGAAGTACAAGTATGGGCGGCACCCAGGAGAACTAGCAGAGATTCGTCGCTGCAGCATCAGGGAGAGAAGACCATTCCATCAACAGGGGGCTTTGAAGAAAGCAGGGTGTGGGCCCTGGGTCCGTCCAAGGAGGCTAAGTGTTTGGTTTTATTTGAGAAAGTCACAGACATCACAGTGGAACCAGCTCTGATAGGTTGGGAGGGACTTGTACCAGGCGCTAACTTCTCACCAGCCTGCTTTTACCAGGCAAAGTGGGGAGTGCGAATCCTCAAAGCTAAGGTTAAAAAACAGGCGATCGTCACTGCGTCTGAAAGACTGAGAAAGGAACCGAGATTCCAGGTCAGAGGAATGGACCTCTTCAAGCTATGGAAGCATCTAAAGGACATCCCCTCTCAAAAGCAGGCAACTAATGTGGCTGCAATCAATGCTCGCCACCGCTTCAGCCTCCTGGCTTGCATCGAAGGGAATGGGAATCTCAGAGGAATGCTCCCGCTGTCGGTAAGGTTGGGAAACGTCAAACCATATCTGGCTGTATTGCCCGCTGTCCCTCCAGATCTGGGACTAGTGGAAGAAGCATTGGACTGCCATGTCCGAAGGGAATTTCATCTGGTCCCAAGCGTGGATCCTCTATGGGGAAGCTCC